ATGATTTTAGTAGTTAAGAACCATCTTCTTTTATTCACATTATTAAGAGAGTATCGTAACTTTTACATTAAAGAATTTTTAGACTTAGAATTTTTTATTTATAACAAAAGAAATCCATGAATTCTACTTCTTCAAATTCTCTTACTCACACACACACCAAACAATACCTAAAGTTTTATCTATTTGGATTTTGATCATCCACTCGATAAGCCATTTGATTTGCGTTTTGGTAACACTATCTCGCTTCTCTTTTTACGTCTCTCGTTGTTTGCATTCTTTTTATTTGGTTTGTTGATCCGTTGTTTTTATAAATTATAACACTAATTCTTTGTATTTTGATTGATCCGTCGATCAATCGTCCGATTAGTTCTCAAGAACCTCTCTCGATAATATTTAATTTTGATTTTTGATTTTTTTGAATCTCACTTTTACAAATAATTTTATATTTTTAACCGAGAACCAAACATGACTTGAATATGAAATTATTTCATAAGCTGATAAGATATATACCGAACCATAAAGAGTAATTTCGTGTGATTGGTTCCTAACCCTATTGGCTAGTTTCCAATAACATTTTATATGATTGCCGCCTGGTGACTCCATTACAAACAACTACTAGCTTGTGGATAAGAACTTATAATATCCTATAAAAACCATTGTGATGTAATTAAATAATTGGTGCCAAAAGATTCTAGTATACAGTTAATTACTTGACTTCGCACTCAGTAGCAAGTTGTTTAATTAAGTGCATCTAAAGGTTATGAATTGGTTCTAGATTATATACTTGAATAAAAATTAGCATCGTGTAAAATATATACCTGAAAATAGTAAAAGAAAAACTAATCCGACAATAAAGAAACAACCTAATGACATGACTATCTTAAGTCACCGCACCTACTATTGTTTTTGGTACTTTAACACTCAATTTTATTCGAAATTAAAAACGGAGAAACAAAGGTAGATGTGTTCTTATGTTGAATACATTGAAAGAGGTCAAGATCATTCACCATAGCACTTTAGCAGATAAGCCAACTTTATTTGGAATTATGTGTTTCATGTTCTGTGGATTCGTCTGAATTAAAATCTTGAAACATCACGCAACCATTAGCTCCTAGCCAAAAGGATATAAAGCTTTGCGACCGAGGTGAATCGAAATCAAAATTCAAAACAAGGGTTCTTATCCAGATGACGACAATATCACTTTTGGGTTTAGAGAGTACACTGGATACCTTCATAAGATCTTTCTAGGCTAAATAAGTTCTACTTTTTCATTTAATTTTATTCTATTTGAATATCAATTCCTGAAATTCTAATTTTGGATTTGATTTTTCTGATTTTACCTTTTGTTTTATTTATTTTTTATTTTTTTGCAAATTATTCTATCTTGTAGTTTTCTATTTTGGTAGAGAGTACAATGGATAATTACCAAAAAAACCTTATAAAAAAATCTTCTATTTAAAAAATTCATAAATTTATTTTTGTATCCCCCAAACTCAAAATGATATTGATAATTAGAAAACTACAAGATAGAAAATAAAAATTGCATTGGTTGGATATAAGATTTTTTTGAAAGGCTTTTCTGGTAATTATCCCTAAAAATTATTTAATAAAATTAACTAGGATTTTAAAAAAAAATGGAAACAATTTGGACTATTTTCTATTTTCTTGATTGTTTATATTTTTAATATTTAGAAAATAAAAAAATATATTTTTTAATCTTTAAAAAAATTGAGATATTTTCAGAAAATGAATTAGATTTTTTCCAAGGTGTGTGCAAAACTTTGTATCAAAATATCAACAAATAATTTAAAAAATAAAAAAATGATAGTTGAAAATCATAGAATGATTTAAATCTAAAAATAAAAAATTAACTTCAGAAAGGTCAAGCTTGGTATTAAAAATTTTAAAAAATGATTTCTAAACGAATTAAAATTCAATGGAGGTTTGACCGTTAAGCAATCATTCTATTGTATCATTGCATGATGGGGAAAAAATGGTTTAACCATCTGTTCTGTCTTTATACTATAAGTAATTGATTAATAAGATTTTTATTAGATTTTTGTATTGAATTAATTTATTTATTATGAACTCAAATTAGTAAAAAAAGATTTTAGTACTGAATTAATTTATTTATTATGAACTCAAATTATTAATTTTGCTAATAGACATTAAGTAAGTTGTATAATAAAATGATTGTATGTTCTTTAATTCGTTGACTCTGTTAATTATTTTTTTATTAAAAATTTTTTAAAAAAGAAAAAATAAATAAATAAAGACGGCAGGTTGTTTAGAAGTTATGGGATAAAACACAATTTAATTTTTTTTATATAATTTCAATAAATTTTTTGTAATGAAAAATAAAAATAATAATTAACAGAGTCAAATGAAATCAAACAATACGTTTCACTTGATTATGCAATTTATTTAATATTGTTGGTAAAATCACTAAAAGCTCACGTTAAATAAATTAATTTAATATAAAAACTCAATTAATATTTAAGTTGGTATAAGAATTTAATTAATTGATTGGTTGTGGTACATAGACGGTACAAATCATTATCCTGAAGAAAGAGAAAACACAAAAGTGTTGGTTGTGGAGCACAAAACATGAAGACAAATTGAGATATGTACATATGGGTGCACCCAAATTTTCCCCTCTCGATGGTTTTTATTCAAAAAAAAAAAAAAAGAAAAGAAAAAGAAAAGGAACACATCTAGGAGCTAGCGTTGTCATGATGCTGCTTGCTAGTGCTGAAGCCACCTGGATATTTAATCAATTATGTAGCTATCGACGAACTATTTAGTTTAGAAATTAAGTAGAACAATAACAAATGCTAGCTCACACCATCGCTAAGCGAATCTTGAAAGCATTGAGGGAGGGTGCTTAATGCTTTGGCGAGTGGTAGCTCCTCCTACTATTCTAATTGTAATTCTTGCCCATGGCGACTATGAAAGGTAGTGTTTACCATCTTGAATTGTTTATTTATTTTTTCTTTGGATAAGTGATTTAAGTGTCACTCAATTCAGTGAACAAGCACAAGTAATGTTGTTTCAGTGTATTTAGAATTGATTCCATTAAGAAAAAATTCCCAATTAGTTTTCACTCCATACGAGAATTAGCATTGAGATAAAGAATGTTATGCTAGATCATGTAGAGTCCAATCATTAGAAAAATAACTTTTTTGAAACTGGGATTGGAATAATAAGATCAATATTTTTGTGTCTAAGTGGAAAATTTTAGACCATTGCAGTATCATCAGAGGCATCAAGGGCTACAAGACCATCGTGCGGTCTTGAGCCACAGAGCAAAAGCAGGAGACCTCCACCTAGTTGGTGTGGGATGGAGATGCACCACTTCTAGTCATTTAGGCGGGCTGTTCTTTCGATTTGATGTATCGTTTGACCTTATTTTGCATCTATCAAATTGTGAAGGGAAGATTACAAAACACGTATTGACATGTTTTAGGAACATGATTATCGTGTTTTTTAAATCTAAATAGTTGATTTAAAATTAAATTGTTATGATTTGATACACGATGAAAATAAAAATAATTTTATTTCTTAACATTTTATTTATCTTATTTAATCTGAATTATTAAATTCAAAATTAATGATAAAATTTGATACATGAAAAAAAATCTAAATCTATAAAATATCGCAGATTGATTGAAAAATAATCTATGATGATTACATTCTATGTATGAATTGATAAAAACAAACCATGTAATATACAAAGCTGTGGAAAAAAGAAGAAGCATAAGTTAATAACAACACAGAACCCTTAACGAAAGACCAAAGCTGGATTTTTTTCCCCCTTTTTTTTTTAAGCAACAAATCGAACTCTTGTTTCTATAACCAAGAAAACAAGAATAGAGGGGGAAAAAAGGTACTCTAGATGGCTATAGAAGGTTTGGGTTTGAATCTCCTTGTGTTTGAACTTGGAAGTGGAATATGACCAATAAGAATCCACAGGACACTAATTCTTTTGAATTTAATGTTTTAAATTAGGTGAAAAACAAAAAAAGGAATTATATTTTTGTCACTTTTAATACTAGAATCATATCCAATCATTTGGATACTGAGAGTTTAGATTCACAAGGGTAAAAAAAGAAGCAAACATGAAAGAGAGGATCCGCCCAAACTAGAAGGTATTATAGTAAAATATCTTTTCTTTTTCACACTTATGAAACAAAACTGTTTTTTCTATAAAAGAAAAATGAAATTTATAAGTTGACCCAGAGTCACTTTGAAGTCTAGTTTGATGATAAACAATGATGACAAGGCTTAAACAAAGGAGTTGTTTCCGGCCCAAAAGTGAAGGTCTAGCAAAGTAGGTAACCATAGCTTGTGCTTCGTTTAAAGGTTTTGTGGTTCTGGTGCACCTTGCTTTTATTAATAAATACAGGCCCAAACAAGGTTTCAAGCATTGCAAATATGAGATTCTCTCGCCCTCTCTGTTGCCTAGTTACTAGTCAGGGACCAACTCCAGTTTTGGAGACTCTGTTGCCTAGTTACTAGTCGGGGACCAACTCCAGCTTTGGACTGGCACCACAGTGCAGGCTATGTTGTATTTACCGTCCTATACTGGACAGTCTATATTCCCCACTTACCGTCCAATAATGCAAGATAACCTATATTACCCACATACCTATCCTATCTAGGACGGTACTAGGACCTTGATCCTATCCACTGGACTTCTTTTCTTTCTTTCGGTGGGTGAAGAGAGAGAAGGAAGAACAAAGCGTCATGAGAGTTGATATCGAGCAAAGCAAGACGTTAAAAAGGTATTGAGTATAATAAAGCTAATTGATTAACCACTGCTAGGGGGATTGAACCTCTCGTCCACATCCGGAATTCGAGATGATAGCGAACTGCTCCAATAATGACAAGATCAGATGCCATCCGATAATATTAGACCAAACAAGAACTGAGAACCTAGGAGCATCACTGGCTACAAAGATTGCAAGATAATGCCCGCAGAACCGTAAGCAGTGAAACTATCAACCTCTAAGCCAAACTGACCCTCGGTCTACAAACTGCCTGTTGGCAATCCATTGAGATTTCCCAGGATACTTGTATTCCACCCAGATCAAAATCTGCAAAAAGTAGTAACACAAAAATAACAGCCAAAGCCACTACATTTCTCCGCCTATGAAAAAATGCTAACACCTCAACTTATTCTCAATTTGAAACGACCGCTGTCGATTATACTTCTCACCCTAAAAACCTTTCGTCCACATCAATTGAAAATAGGGATAAAAATGCTTTCTACCCTCAATCTAAACTTCGAAGAACAAATTCAATATATTAGCAAATTTGTATTCGTTTGTGAAAGCATGTGCACACGTGTATTGGTGTGGGTGTTTTTGTGAGAGAGAGCTAAAATTTGCACCAAGTTGCAAAAGCAGCATGCAAATTACAAAACTGGATTCCCGTTCATGTAAGCTAAATAGGAAATTAATATGCTTCAATGCTCGCTCCACAAAAGGAAAAACTACTCTTCTTCTTGCCCTCGACATCTAAATCTAATTAGTCCAAACAGCAATCAGCTAGCACATGCATATCACCATCACCATACTACTACTTTTCAAATAACTTCGTGTTGCCATGAATTTAGAAGGTGGTGTATATCAGGTAGTTATATAGTTTAAGCACATTACTCTTGCATATACAACACAGTTTCTGAACTTAGTAATCTTCCAATAACGAGCCTATTCAAATCTAAACATATACATAAAGTATTGTGATAAAGCTTAGCATGCGAAAGAATTGTGATGCAATATGTGAAAAGGAAGAATACAAGCCCACCGATGAAAGAGAGAAAGGTGGCGTAAGGAGGAAGAGAAAAACGAACTATCGCTTTGCAGTGCATATAATAGTAACTTGCAGGCAACAGCAAAGTCAAGCACTACAGCAGCACGATTCACTCAGGATGGGAAAATGAACAAAAAAACATACTTTCTCAGATCTTCTCAACACCTGTATTACTTTAGCTGTCAGCATCACTAACATATATATCAGCATTACTAGGCCTTCACCTGAGTGAAAAGCTGAAAGCGCGAAGCAGCAGGAGAAAGATCTACTAGTTTCCTTCTCTTTGAACTGATATTTCATGCTTTGAACAATAGAGGCACAAAGAGCCCTTTGGAAGAGACAAATGGAAGAACACGAAGAAACACCTGAAGCCTTGTATAATCTCTCAAACAGATGATTTGATTAATCACTCAAATATTAGTGAAATCTCACCTAAGCACATGTTAGTTCAAATTTCAACACAAATTGAATGACTGAATTCCCTCTCCCTTCCCCTTTAAACAAGCACAGGTCTCAAAAAGAGATGAAAAAAGAAAAAAGAAGGAATCAACTCCAACTTCTCCATCAAGAGAGGGGATAATGAGGCAGACCCTTGGCATAGACAACGGTTTAACGGGTTCATTTCGGCTTTCACATTGCAGCCACTTCATTTGTTGTTCAAGTTCGAAGCCCAACCTTTCCAAAGCCACGAGAAAGATTGTAGGATGCCACTAACACTGAATAACATCAAGCCCCAAAGTTGCCAAACTAAGTAAATTAATCCAAGTAAAATAAAGTAAGCACATGGCTAGTAAATCGAAACAACTCAACTCAAAAGTCAAAACAAAAACCCAGAATGTAGAGTTAAATCACTTAGTAGTTGAACTCGATCAAACTCATGTAGTCTTGTGCAGAATAACTATCGTAATTCAATTAAGATTAACCTTCATATAAATGCAACAAAGTAACAATAATACAAGCAGAATTTATTCCTTTCCACAAAATGTTGAAACAGCGGGCAGTAGCATCCAAATTCACCATAGATTATATACATATAAACCGTGCAGTGACAAACTAAACACGGTTAATAACTCCTCACCAAACCACAATTTACCATCAGTAATCAGCGCGATAATCACTATAGTCATCACGCGCAGCAAGATCATTCTCCACCTTCTCTGCAATTTTCTCTTCCTCATATTTCAATCCTTCTTCCAATGCAAGTCCACCAAGAGCCCCAGCAACCGCACCCACAGCCAATCCTGTCCCAACCCCCAAAGTCTTCCCTCCTCTAAGCCTCTGAGTATCATAACTACCATAATCAACCGGCGCAGAGGGCCCACTGCCATAACTACCCATAGGCCGATCAAAAAAAGGCCTTGGCGGCAGGGGCGTCGGCGGCGCAGAGGAGTAATATCCTGGATAATATGGAGAAGGAGGGTAGGCGTCGTGGTAGGAACCATAATGCGGTACAGGTGGGGGTGGTGGAGAAGACGACGGTGGAAGCGGTATAGTCGGATACCTGTAATCAGGTGGTGGCATAGTGGCACCACTGTAATAATAGCTCTGTGGAGTGGTAATTCGGTAAACTGGCTGCGGCGGTGGAGGAGGAGAAAACAGTCTTTCACGCACGCCGAGTTTGATTCTGATTTTACCCTGAGGGCGACCTGACGGTCGGGTTAGTTCAAAAGTTCGGATCCGGTTTGCATCATCCGGGTCGGGTAAGTCTTTTAATGCGACCCGTAGAGTACCAACGAGGGGTTTAGGGGTTTCGCTTGGTTTGGAATGGAAGATTTCGAGGGTAAGGAAGGAGTCGCGAAGATTGACGGTGAGAGGGAGCGTGAATCGCTCGTTCCAGACGGGTCTGGTCGAACCGGAGTCGTCGGATTTTGTTGAGAGTCTTCTGTCTGGGTCGACCCAGAACACTGCGTATGGCTTGAGGTCTCCGCTTTTCCAATTTACGTTTTTGAGGTGTTTTGCAGAGATTATTGTGAGGTTGAGATCGAGGGGCATTGGAGGTGGAGGGCGAGAGGAGGCCATTGTTGATGATGCTAACGTGCGCTGTGAGTGTTGGGTGTGGGGAGAGCGAAAAGAAGACTGAAATAATCGACGATTTTTCCGCAGAGAATATTAGTATGATGTTTTGGATGGACGGTTTTATCCTTACTGGATTCCTAGAGAAAACATTTGTTTTGGTCCTTATATTTGTATAAAGAGGTCATTTCGAATCTGCACTTTTAATTCTATTAATTACACCCAAGTTGACTTAATAAATGTAAAATTTATATTCCCTTTGAATAAGATGTTTTTTCTGATGGTACAATTTTTCTCATTCTACTTTTCATATTTCCATAAAAAATTTTGGTTGGATCATTTTATCTATCCCCCTTGTGTCACGTGTCCTTTTTTCAACAAATTATTTTATTTTATTTTATCTTATTTATTCTATTGATGTTCATGGTTTTTTTATGTCCTTGATTTTTATTTTTTGGGTGTTTTCGTAGCTAGTATTTTAGAAAAGTTTATGATAGATGACATCTTTAACAAAACTACTGAATTGCATATTTAAATACCAATCGGAGTATGGAAAATAAAATTGATATTTTAGATCTGATTCATTAATAATAAAAATATATTGTGATAGAAATGATTTTTTTTTAAATTAAAATTCTCAATAATGGTTATTTAGAATTGTTACACACGGTAGTTATGATATTACATATGTCACGATTACACGTGGTTTGTAACGTGAAAACAAATTATTGTCTAGCACTTTTAAGATGATGCAACTTTAGTCAAATTCATAGAGGGCAAAATTAAATATCGCAAAATAGAATCCAATACGCATTTGAGAAAATAAAGAAATACTCTGAAGGTATTGAATGACTTTTTATTTGAAAAGAACAAATAATTTGATAACTATCACATTTAGTTGTATAGAGCTCGTTGCAATCACGTGAATTAACGTGACTATCAATAAAACATTAATTGAATCTTTTTATGAATCATTTTCTCTAGTTGCATAACAAAGGAAGAAAAGTCTGACCACTAAGCATGCAATAAAGTGCTTTCAAGGCTCTTTTGCACAGATTCTGCATCGATTCTCAACGAGAAAGACTTCTTGAATAGAGGACTCGCTATGCCTGGCAGAAGGATAGCAATTGAAACAAATATTTTTGCGGTCCGAAATAAAAAAATAAGAATTTATGGTATTAATTGGTTTATATACATAGATGACGTGACATAGATCAGACCCTCGTTATGTATCGACAGATTATCAATATAATTTTTTTTAAAAAAATTCAAATAACATAAGTAATGTGTGGGTTCTGGTTTCCCTAATTGTACTACTCGTGACTATACCATTTACTCATCTAACAAACCCTTTAACTGAAATTTACAATAAATGTTAAGAATTTAAATAATCAAAACACCTATTTGGAAAAAATAAAAAATTTAAACACTCAATTGTAAAATCGCAAAAATTCAGTCGTTGGGCTACTTATTACTATTACTATATAATTAAAGTAAAACAACAATTTGAACACTAGTGAATAGTGATAAATATTGTTCATTATTGTAATTTAGTTTGTTTTTTTTAAAAAAAAATTCAAGTTATTTCATTTTGATCTCTAAAAATTTAAAATAAATATTTTAATCCCTTAACTCATGTACTACACATGTCTTTTCTTCTTCTTTTTTCTTTAGTTTTTTTTCCTTTACTTTTTTTCATCAATTTATATTCTTTTTTACTTAATTGGGTGTTAAAAATTTGAAAAATTAATTTTTCTTTGCTTTTTTATAGTATTTTTTTGTTAATTTTTTTTATAAGAAAAAGGCAATTACTATTAATCAACTTTGAGTGTCCCATTTTGTTTTAGTTTTTTTTGTTAATTATTTAAAATTTACTACTTTAATTTGTTATTTTTTAAAAATTTATTATTTATATTTACTTGATGAGTTTTGATTTATATTTCTATATGTATGGATTTTGAAATAAATTTTTAGAACATGATTATTTTTTCTTTTGAAAAATAAATTTAGATAACTTCTAAACGATTTTATATATTTTATCCAATACGCAACGTAACGCAGGTAAAAAAACTAGTTGTCTCTTAACATAAACAAATGCATATGCTTTTAAATCAGTATCCAATAATTAATGGTTGATTTTATCATTACATGGTTGGAAAAGAAATTCCACATCATCCCGCTTTGTCATTAGTACACGTGGTTTAATATCATAGCACAATACAACTGAAATTAATAACTGAATCAATTTGAAACAAATCTACCTGTCAAAGCTCCACCGATGGCTTCCCCAGAGCGAACATGCCTAGTCAAACAAATCATAACCGACCTCATGAATTAGGTTTGTAACCTAAGAAATATTGGCTTCCATTCTAAAAAGTCGGTTAAATGGATGGTTCTTTGCTTCTAAATGGGATGGAATTTATTTATCATATCAATTTTGCAGTTGCAATAAAAGAACAACCGACATGAAGAAAATGAAATTATAACAGGCGACGAGGAGGAGGAATTATATAAAAGAATTAGAAATTTTATAATATTCAAATAAGAGCTGATGACATATATAAGGGTTATTCTATCGATACACTTCATAAATAAAAATAGATACAAAAAAAGAAATAAAAGAGAAAAAACTAAAAAAAATTAAATGAACGTTAAAATTTTCTTATCACTTTTGATGAGTAAGGATGAATTATATTTTTTTATGTGTTTATTTCTTTCTTAAAAAATGAGTCAATTTGATAACTATTACACGTGCCACTAGTTATTATTTAAGATGTTGTTTGGTAATCGGGAACGCAGTGGTAGCAACGAGAATGCTTGGAATTACAATGACATTTATATTCTACTAATATGTTTGAAATGCTAACGAGAAATTTGAATGCAATTTAAATTTTTTAATATATGATTTTTTATATAAATAAAAATAATAGTTAAAAAATAATTTTATCAAACTATGATGGTTTTTGTTTGCAATGGTTTCAACGGTGATGATTGTGGTGGTAATTGAGATAATGATGATTGCGGTGGTGATAGTAATAAAAGTAGTTAATAAATAAAATATATTATTATTTAAAAAAATTCATTCTCATTTCTTATTTTTATTCTCATATCTTATATGAGAATAAAGTTGTGTGTAAATTTTCATTCCCACTTCATTTCTTTTAACCAAACAATTATAATGTAGAAATAAAATTTTCATTTTTATTCTCACTATTTTATTGTTGGTTACTAATAATATAAACGAAAAATAACTACATCATGCCAATCTTTGTACGATTTGCCTACTTATATAAGAAAGGAACATGAAACTAAGGTTTTTTCAAAATCGTAGATTGGAGACTTGCAGGAATTGGAATTTGTTTACTTATTGACCCAAAAATAGCCATAAGAAAAAAACACTTGTATACTGATGCGTGTAGATCGCAAGGATTTATACCTAACAAGCAAAACAGTCCTTTGCCATCCTTGCCAAATATTAATTATTGAGATAATTACATTACAAATACATTAATTGTTAACATTTTTTCAATATAGTATATAAATTTTAATTTTTTAGTTAAACACATTAAGTTTTTAAAAATTATTGATGAAGTATTTTTGTTTAAATTCTGTCAGTTGCTCCATTAATCAATAGCATGCTATTTGTCCTAAACTATTAAAATATGATTTTAATATTTCATTTTTGAAAAGAACTTTTCTTTTACCTTATTTTGTCATTTTTTACTTTTTGAATACAAAAATAATTTAGATATTTACTATATAGAAAATTGAAAAGAAAAGTTTTATCTAAAAATAAAATGCTAAAATCATAATTTAATATTATAGAGAAAATAACAATCCATTAGATAGTTGAATAATCGATAGAAATTAAACAAAAAAAATATTTGATTGATAGTTTTAAAAAAATTAATATATTTAAATAAAAAATATAATTCATATATTTCATTGAAATAACATTAAAATTTAGTATACTTATATTACCATCATCGTATAATTATTTCAGGTAAGTCTGCTCTTCCTCCTGATGAAGACTTCCACGAATGTGACAAATATAGTTTCTTAATCCAAGACAAATCTCCTAATATTTTTATAAGCAAAAAAGATTTTAAAGTTTCATTTAAAACAGTATCATCTACAAAATTTATTTATTTATTTTTATTTAAGTTTCTTCAGACACACAATCATTGATTCCCAAAAATAAAATGATAATTCCGAAACAGAGGGTACATAATGGAGAGGACAAAATGGTAAAAGGGCACACACTCTCAACAACCAAAACCGTCGTCATTCATTTGCTTTTCCAAAACGAAACAGCCAAATTAAATAAAACAAAGGTAGTCTTCGACAGCGAGGGGCACCCCCATCAAGAACGTGTGAGCTCCTTACCTACAGCCAAAGTCAGAGATCATTAAGTCGTTTTTAACAAATATCTCTTTCTTACACGTACTCGGACTCCTCTCAAAATTCAGATCTCTCTTTCCGTCTTTCAGTTTCATTCCTCTACACTTTCCCGGGAAACTGAAGAAAATTTCCACATGTCAGACGCTTTGATCAATGGACTCGCCGGAGCTGGCGGCGGGATCATAGCTCAGCTTATCACTTATCCTCTTCAAACCGTACGCCTCACGATCTTTTATGCTCTTTTGAATTTTTTTTTCAAAGAGAATCGTTTCTGTTTCTATCTGTAGTTAATTATTAATGACTTGATCTTTATAGGTAAATACTCGGCAACAAACGGAGCGTGATGTGAAAAAAGAGAAGAGGAAGCATGGAACTATTGAGCAAATGTGTCAGGTTTTTGCTCTCGATTTTTTTTTTATTTCATTTATGTGCTTTATTATTTAGCTATTAGCCTATTACTGTCTTTCTTCAAATTTTGATGAAGTGAACTATTATGTTATTAGAGCTTTAAGGCTCTAGTTCTGAATTTTAGTTCTTTGATTGGATGATATGTAGGTTGTTAAAAATGAAGGATGGGGACGATTGTATAGCGGATTAGCGCCATCGGTCGTAGGTACAGCTTGTTCTCAGGTGAAGCTATTTTAGGATCTTAAATATCTTTTCGACTTTTGTCTTTCTTGTTAGCATGGTTTAATGGATTTAAATAGTTTCTATTTTTTTATTTTTTTATTTTTGGAAAAAGATGTTAATAACTTAATTTACCTTTTGGTTGAATGAGATTTTAATGTCTTGTTTGGCTTCCAATAATGTGGTGCAATAGAAATTAGAAGCGAGAAGTTGGGAGTTTATAACATGTTGGACGGTAACGCGTCAATTTGCTTAACAGTATGAAAATAGAAATAAAGTTTGGCAGGATACGCGGATATTTGCAAGTTGGTGTGTCTAGTGGTATGGTTCAGTTATTTTTCAGTGTATCCTGGAATAGTTCAGTTAGAGATAATGTATTGTGATTCTCAATATAAATGGTCTTGTGGTCCCTTGGACAGTGAAAAATGTACATTCAGTGATGTGAGTATATGACTAATGTGTATCTCTTTGTTACTCCAAGTTATAGTTCTTCTAATGGTGAGGGTAAATATTATTAACCATCCTTCACGTTGCTAGTAACGTTTTTAACTTCCACTGTCAGGTTATCTCCTTAAACACAAAACCTTAGCATGACTCATGCAAGAATTAAGATTTTTTTCATAGGAATTGATTACCATACACAAGAATGCTATAGTGATAAACTATTCTTTTTTTAAAGAAGGTAACGACTTGAAATCAAAATCCTGTTAATATATTCCTGTTTTTTGGGTGCAATAATATTGTTCTGGGATATTTATTATGCATGTTTTTTTAATTTTTTTACCGAGGTTGAAATTTCTTAGTACCATTTGATAAGTTATGCGTTGAATAATTTTGGCTTGCATAATTTTCTTTACTTTTCTTACATAGTTTGTGATTTCTTATTTGCTTTTATTTTTATGATACAGGGTGTTTACTATTATTTCTATCAAATATTCAGGGATAGAGCTGAAGCTATAGCTCGTGAACATAAGAGGAATGGAATTGGTGATGGATCAGTTGGGATGCTATCGTCACTTTTGGTGGCTGCATTAGCCGGGTAATTTACTTTGTTTATATAGTCTCTATGAATTCATTTCATTGTATCTGTGAACTATAAGAGCATTTAAGGGCCATAGGGTTGTTGTCACTAGCAACTATGCATCATATCCACCCAGTTCAATCATGGGGGGACAATCATTTTAAATCATTCCAGCTTATATCTGTCTGATATGTATTCTGTACATGCTGAGGTCAAATTTCATTTTCAAGGGTTTCTTCAATCCTAGTACGCCTCCTATAACAGTTATTGCATTTTGTTGTCGCTGTGAATGGCCACAAGGTTGTTATCAGTTGCAACTACGTGTCATGTCTGCCTCAGACAATCATTGGGGGAACAATAATTTTCAATTATGCTGCTCATATCTGCGTCAAATGAGTATTGTGTACATTGTTAGGTCAAATTTTAGAAGGGTTTCTTCAATTCTAATTCACTGCCTACAGTAGTTATAGAATCAGCTCTAAAAGCTCTTTTACCGAATTGCAAAATGAAAACAAGTTGGTACAAATTTCATTTGCACTTTGATCCATGTTTTTATTGAGTCTCTTTGCTCTTTGTGACTCATATAGTTTCATGCTTGATGCTTTCTTTGTATAGGTGTACAAATGTGCTGTTGACGAACCCTATATGGGTAGTTGTCACGCGTATGCAGGTAAAGAGGTAGCTGGCATCTCAAGATTCTATCTTAGACGTTCTCGAGAGACCAATTGTCTAAATATGCTTTAAAGCATGGAAGTAACACATAACTTACTATCTGCTGCTAAGCCAAGTCTTTGTTCTTAAATCATTCTCTTTTTTCTATGTTTAGTGCCTATATACATGTGACTTAGACTGTTTATAAAACAGGTATACAAATATAAAACTCATTGATATGCAAGTTTGTTGTTCTACTTAGTTATGTATTTGAAGTTTAAACTACTTTTGTGTTGCAGACGCATACCAAGAACTCAAAGAAGTCTCAGCCTAGTCGATCATCCATTGCCCTAGATGAAAAATCATTAGATCCAATGGAGCCTCCTCCGTATGGAACTGGCCATGCGGTAGGTGCAGTTAAATGGCAGTTTATTGCTCTTGTTTATTTACTCGTCTAAAACTTGAAGAACTTACTATTACCACACTAATACTATCAAAGTGCAGTTGATGTTAAGAAATTAGATGGAAACTCTTTCTCTGAGATTTATATTGCTCTATTGCATGTTATTGCATTACTAAATAATCATATGCTGTGGCCGTGAATTGCCATTCAAGCATATGCAATACTGTAATTCTGAAATTGAAGCAACGAAGAAGGATAATGAAGGGGCATGACTATTAGTTGTTGAATTGGTAAAAGTCTTGGATTGCAACTATGAGAGTATAGGTTCAAATCCTGAGAATGTTAGCATCATGCAATTATTGAAGAATTGAACTAACAAGAGAAACTATGCATCTCTTGCCTCCCCAAGCTTTAAAAGCATCATCTGTTGGGCTAGGGTGAGTAAGGAAATAAGAAGAAAAAAAGAAAAAACGAAAATCTTTCATCAAGAAATTAGTTTATAGATTCAGAACGCTTTCTGTAATTCTGTTTTATTTACCTATATATGATATTTATGGCATCTTGCAGAAACGGACAAGTTTGTCATATTGCTTGACTGTATGTATTTGTTTATGGTTTAAATATGTTCTACCTTGTTGATGGGAGGCATAATGCAATAGTTTTTCCTTTGTGTTTTCTTTAATGAAGATAATGTTTACAGATTCAAGAACTCTATGATGAAGCTGGAATTGGGGGCTTTTGGAAAGGTGTATTCCCAACATTAATCATGGTACGTAATGATTGATTCTTAATTCTGTTAAGGATTATCACTGATTGCCCTGCTATTTACTTGCAGGTGAGCAACCCTTCAATGCAATTCATGTTGTATGAAACCATGTTGAAGAAGCTGAAGACAAAGCGTGCCTTGGTTAAGAAGGGTGACACTGGAGTCACTGCCTTGGAGGTTAGCTTTCATTTTGATTTCCCTAGTTCTCGATCTCCACGCATCTTATTTGTTTCCTATTCTCCAAGCTGTTATTTCAGCAGTCACATATTTGTTTGCCGTCCATCAATTTTTAGTGGCTTGTTGCAATAGCTGAATAAATTGCCCTTTTTTTGGCCAGATATTTCTCCTTGGAGCTTTAGCAAAGCTTGGAGCTACTGTTGTAACATATCCTCTTCTAGTGGTAAAGGTAAATGACATGATATTTTGGGATCCTATTGCTACGCAGACTTAGAAACTGATTGACCTTAAGGGTTTGTGAGTGAGCTCACAAAAATTTTTGCTTGCCAAAACTAATAACTACCATGTGGTATAGATGCACGGCAACTAAAAGTTTAATGTGGCTCCATCAATTGCTCAAGGACATCAGGTTGTGCCACACAGTGGAGGTCATCAGGAATCTAGAAGCAGAAAAGTCTCTTCTGCAAATAATTTTACCGTGACCCTTGGCTTAGAATTCAATTGTCACCGGGAAGGGATGAGCAAAATAAATATGAAGTAAAAAAAGTGAATTATAAATCAAATATTTGGTTGGCGAAAAGCCAAATTTCCTTGCTTTTGTTCTGAAAATTCTGTATTCGATAATTAGATTGATGTTTCCATGTAGATATGTTTCCAATTTTCTTAGGGTGACTGCTCTTGTTCCTAATTGATTCCTTTGCTTTTGCAGTCGAGGCTTCAAGCAAAACAAATTACAACTGGAGACAAAAGACATAATTACAAAGGTTTAAACTATTTCAGTGAATTTTAATTATGTAATAAATTATGGAGCTATCATGCTCCAACTTGACCTTACCTTTTGGCATAGCCTTTTGCATGATGGACATATTTGATGAACTGGGCAACCTTAAAATTGTTATATCCATAGTGATTTTGGCTGGGATGTTGTGACCAGCAGCAGGTGGTGGATAGTGAGAAAAGATTGCTCCCGTAGTCCTTTTATATCCATGCTTGAGAACTCCACTTCATTTCAGTTTTAAAATTTACTGAGTTCATCTTGATGATGTTTGTTTCGTTCATTTCCTGTGATGTAGGTACATTGGATGCTATCCTCAAGATGATTCGTTACGAAGGGCTCCATGGGTTTTATAAAGGCATGAGCACGAAAATTGTGCAAAGTGTTCTTGCAGCTGCTGTTTTGTTCATGATTAAGGAAGAACTTGTCAAGGGTGCTCGATTGTTGCTCACTAAGGGTGGCGCTAGTATAAGGAAAACAAGGCCTGCCTGACTGGAGCTTTGTCATTTCGTTTCTTCCGCTTCTGATTATTTCTTTGATGTAGTCAAATTTTCGTTTAAATGGATGCTGGCGTTATTAGGCTCGTACTTCGGAATAAGAGAGATGTACGGAGCTATAGTGCCAAGATTACTCTATTGATTCATTGGAAACTTATTCGAAAGGGTAATTCTATTCTATTCTACTAAACACCAAAATATCTGAGAATTTAATGTGAACAGTGAACTTCCACCAGCTGGTTTTTTTTTTTACTCCTTCCCAATCCGTTTTACTGTTCATTTGGATTATGAAACGGCTGGCTTTTTTCTTTTTTTTTTTTTAGCCAAGGCTTTTTTTTTGCTTTTGCTTTCTGTCGCTAAGGTCCTCTTTTGGCTTTTAGTAAAGTGTTTTTTAATTTTCTGCAAAGGTATTTTTGTGATTTTCTGATAGTTTTTTATTTGTTTTCAAATTTTGCACTTTATTTTTTTTTTGTCCTTTATGTTTTCAAAATATATTTTAAATCCTCATATTTTTAAAAATATTTTGAAATCTCATGTTCTTAATTTAATCTATTTTTATCTTGCTTTTTTTCATGCTCATGTTTTTTTAAAAAATATTTTTGGCCTCTTATGTTTTTAAATTTTAAAAGAAACATATATATCAAATTATATTTTTTTATTAATTAAAATTAATCTCTTAAATTTGTCATTTATTATAAAAATTCTTATCAAACTAAATTTTTTATGAACGTTTATTTCTTGGTAAATATGATTTATTTTTTAGTTTTATTGAAAATTAATTATGTATTTATTTGCACAAAGCCATTGGTCCCTTCGTTCAAAATATATTATTTTGTCCTTTTTGCTATTTGAATGTTTTTATTTTTTGTTTTAAGAATTAAAGAAAGACTAAAAAATGTGAAAGAAAATGTGAAAAAAATACTTTTTTAAAATAAAAAATATATATTATTCATGGTCAATATTAATAAAAAAAATAATTCATTCATTTTTTTTAAAAAAATATTTATATTATATACTATAAATCTACTTAGTGAGATATATTTATGTTTTTGTTGAAAATTAATTATGTACCTATATACATAACATTATTAGTTCCTTTGATTCAAAAAATAATTTTTTTGTCCTTTTTCCTATATCAATAGTTCTATTTTTTGTTTCAATAAATAGAAAAAGAATAAAAAATAAGTAAAAATATGAAAACACACACACACACATATATATGATTAGTTTTGTAGAAATTAATTATGTATCTATATACATAACGCTAATTATTTATAATTTATTTATTTTTTATTCTAAAATTAATATTTTTAAATAAAATAATTGAAAGATATATGTCATTAATTTTGTTATAAATTAATTATGTAGAAAGATAAATATGATTTTTTTTTTGTTGTTGAAAATTAATTATGTATCTATATAAATAAACCCATTAGTCCCTTCAGTTCAAAAACTATTTTTTTTTTGTCATTTTTGCTATTTCAATGTTTTTATTTTTTGTTTTGAGAAATAAAGAAAGACTAAAAAATATAGAAAAAAATATGAAAAAAGCCTTTTTTAAAATAAAAAATATATATTATTCGTGGTCAATACTCATAAAAATAATAATAATTCATTCATTTCTCAAAAAAAGGTGAACTAATTTATTATTTAATTTACAATTTAAGAATTTCTTTCATCATAAATTAAAAAGCAAGATCCATGAGAATCAATTTTGTAGTAGTTTTATTTCAATTTATTGACTTTAATATATTCTATACAATCTAAATGATTTTTTTTTAAAAAAAATTATTTATGTTATATACTCGGAATCTACTTAGTATGATATATATATATAGTTTTGTTGAAAATTAATTATGCAATTGTATACATAAAATTATTAGTTCCTTTGATTCAAAAAATAATTTTTTATCCTTTTTCCTATATCAGTAGTTCTTTTTTTCTTTTTCTTTTTTCATAAATAGAGAAAGAATAAAAAACAAGTAAAAATATGAAAACACACACACACACACACACACACAAACATATATAATTAGCTTTGTTATGAATTAATTATGTATCCGCATACATAACACTAATTATTTATCATTTTTTTTTATATTCTAAAATTAATATTTTTAAATAAAATAATTGAAAGATATACATATCATTAATTTTGTTATAAATTAATTATGTATTTATACACATAACCTCGGTTATTTGTTAGTTATTCTTTTTTATATTCTAAAATCAATGTATATTAATTATGAAAAATAAGATTCTTACATGCATTACACTCGTACAAATCGTTAATCTTATATACACGATTGTTTGATTGTATCGTAACGTGGGTATCCGCCTTGTTTATATAAAAAAGGGTGAAGTGTAAGGATGCTTGTTCTACCCAACATCACTGAAAAAGGTAATGTTATGCAAACTTTTTCTTCATGCAGACAAATGGCAGATGCCTTATGGAAAATAATCTAAAATCTTGTCAAGTTTACCGATAACTGGTTTATACTTAAGAGAGCTCGAAGTGGAGAAATATGAAGATCGAGGAGGCTACCGGAAGGACGACAGTCCACCAAGTCGAAATTTATTACAGTCCTTGTATTGGAGCTTTTCTAGGGTTCTGGATATTAGTATCGTGCCGCATATTTATCAAAATTATTAGTTGTTTGATAAAGGCACCCAGATTAGGTGCCATCCATCAAACCAAATTACTAACGGAGAGATTGATTGGAGCGCGAAAAAGAAAAAAGGCTGGCATGAGTTGAATAATCTAACTCTTCTGGTGCACATATTATTGTTTGTAACTTCATTTAGGGAAACACTAGCGGGTTATTAGGCTACACATCGGATAGAATAAATGAAATTATTTTAAGAAAATTCACACTTAGGTCCTTTATAATATATCGAAATTAAAGGAAAAAAATAATTAATTTTTTTATGTTCTTTTAATAGATTTTTTTTAAAAAAAAACACAGTTTTTTTTTTATGTATGGATTCTTAAATAAAAATTTATAATAATTTCATATGCAAGTTTCAATTAATCAGAAATTTTAAAAAGAATACGTGCAAATTTAATTGTTTATTTCATAAAATTGCATTAAGAAAATAAAGCAAATTTTAATTTTAAAAAATTAGATAAAATTTTAAAATAAATTTTTATAATATTGATGAGAAGATTAATTTTAAAAAGTATGTATTTTAAGTTATATATATATATATAATGTCAGCCTAAAAAAATTCTATTTGAAAAGTATGTTACCATTAGAGATTTTTAAATATAATTTTAATTATTTTATTTGAAATGAATTGATTTCAAAATATCTATTTTTTAAAAAAGTAAAAGTTTTGTGAGTATGTGCTCAATCAATTTCTAAAAAACAAGAAAAAAAAAACTTATAACATTGATTTCAATAAATTTTAATTATGTGAAAAAAGTAAATAAAACATATAGGTTATATTTTTTTCCTTTTTAATTGATATTTTTGTTTCCAAGTCATACAACGGCTTTGTGTATGGGCTTCACATGCATGGCAATTAATCCTTTTTATTTTCTTTGCTTCTTACTTTTAATTATTACTCAAAAACTAAAAAGTATTCTTATTAAAAAATTCAAATTAAATTCAAAAATGCAAGTGAATATTTTGGAGCATTGACCTCCTTTCTTGGACCATTTAATAGTTTGGGGCCATTATAAACAAAATTTTCTCTATGACATGAACAAATCAAAACCAAAATTGATAGCTAAAGTGACCGGAATGAGCTTCGTCCTCGCCTTTGCTCTCTTCATCTCTTTCTACATTCAAGGACCAAACCTCAATATAAATGAATTTGGAAACCTAAGCAAAGTTTATTTAAAAAGAAGTAAGGATCAAAGTGCACATTTGTTCAAATTTCATATAAATGAGTGAAAAGATTAAAATTTACAATAATATCATCATAAATGCATGAACAAAAGCTCAAAATCGTAACAATGTTATAAAAAATGTATAAAAAAAAGATCAAAATTATAATATCATATGGTAAATTGTATGTTTGAAAAAAACACCACAATACTATGTGAACGAGTGAATAATGAATCGAATAGTAAAAAACTCGTTTTTTTTTAGGTTTTTTTTCTTATGTTAATATTGGAGGAGGGAGTTTCTTGGTTGCAATAGAGTAAATTATAATTGAGTGCTTGCAATTTGGATGATTTTGTAATTTAATCCCTTTATTCTTAAAAAGTATAAATAAGTTCATTAACTAAAGTTGATTGTTATTATTCATTATAAACGCATGAACAAAAATTTAAAAACGTAACAATGTTATCATAAATGTATAAGCGAAAGAACAAAATTATAATAAAATCAAGCGAATTGTATACTTGAAAAAATTATAAAAATACCACGTGAATAGGGAATATAAATATGAGTGAATAGTGAATTGAATGGTAAAAATCTCTTTTTTTAGAATTTGTTTTTTGGTTAACGTTGGAGGATGGAGTATCTTGGTTGTGATAGAGTAAATTATAATTGAGTCCTTATATTTTGGATGATTTTGTAATTTAATCCCTTTATCTTTGAAAAGTACAAATTAGTCCTTTTAACCAAAGTTGATTGTTAATTTTTGTTTGAAATTTCTAAATTACTTTTTATGCACTTTTAATTTTGTGTATAAGATTAAAAAATTGATTTCAAATGAATAATAGTTTAGGTAAAAAACAATTTAATTGTGACGAAAAACCTACACAAACACCAAGTCACAATTAAATATGAAAATATAAGGACTAAATACTAATTTTTAATAAAAGGATTAACTAATTAATTAATTAAAAAAACAGGGATCAAATAATATTTTACTCGTAATATGACGAGGGAGGACCCACAAACCACTTCTTGATGAAACACGTCAACACGGCGCCGTTTCACTTCTCTAACTTATTTAGGGAAGCGCGCATTCCTCACCAGCCAAAGTTAAGACTAGAAAGAAAAACATCCTCTGTTTTTACGCTTATGATCCTCTACTCCTCCCAAAGACAAATAAACACACTTTAAAAAACTCCCAAATCTCTCTCTTCCATTTTCACGCAAGAAATGCAAGAAAAGAAAACGGAAATGGCAAACAAGAACGCTAAGAAGGCAAATATCTTAGATCACCACTCAATCAAGCACATTCTGGACGAATCTGTCTCCGAGGTATCACACAAAACATAAACCCTAAACCTTCTCTAAATAGAATAATGAATTTCAGCTTTTTGATCAGTGATGTTTTATTTTGAGTTATAGATTGTTACGAGTCGTGGATACGTAGAAGATGTGAGGATGAGCAATATAAGGCTGTTTTTGGGGACAATCATTATAGTGATTGCTCTCTTTGCTCAGTTTTACAATAAGAAGTTCCCTCAGAATCGGGACTTTTTGATCGGATGCATAGTATTATATCCTTTCTAACCAGTGATTTTATTTTAATTTATTTTGATTCCTTTTTGTGTTTGGTGGCTTACCACTGTGTGGAATGGAATTGTGAAATTTTGTAATTTATGTTTCTCAGGTTTGATAGTTGGAAAAATTAGAGTTTTTTATTTATTATTTCTTAATGAAATAAATCCTTTGCTGATTTATGCTCTCTAGTCGAGTTTTGAATTTTGAAACAATTTGTGATTTAGAATCTTAAACTTGTTTTTTAAATGAGAAGAAATCAATAAGGGGGTGAATTTTGGGTAATATATTCTTAAAGCTTGAGAGAGTGGAAATTGTAAACTGAATAATTCTAGTCTTACTGATGATCCTTCCAAAATCACTTTTCAAAGAATCTCAACCATTGGATTTGTGTGACCTCTAGTGGGATCCATTCATTCAGTGGAAGAGACTTTTCAGGAAGCGATTTCAATAAGCGTATCTTTTTGTGAAAGTAAGCATTATTCTTTTAAGATTATAGGGTAAATTTTTTACTGCTTACTTCAAAATCATTGGTTTAAAAGCTATTATAATTATCGTTTTAACTTTCTTGGCAAACAAATGCATGGTTGTGTTTGAAAGGAACTGATTGGTAATTTGAAGATGTTAGTCTTGTTTAATCCTTGACTCTGGCAAGTATATATTCTTCAATGGATTGTTGCAGCTGATCATCCACTTAAAAGAGAAGAATGCTATCTTAGTTACCTATCCTCCTAAGGTAAACTTCTAACTTTGATGCATTTTGTTACAGTGGCCGCAACTATTAAATACAAATTCCTTTGTGGTTCTTCAGATATGCTGGTGTTTTAATATCTATTTTACATCATGTTATGACTGATTAGCGTGAGATAATTTTTAAATTTACAATATATAATCTCAATATACTTATTTTTTGGCCCAATTTTGTCCCAACACCTTCTCTTTTGTCACAAAGGGACTCATTTTTTGTGGTATCCATGGTTTCATCACTATCCGCGAAACCATTTCTTTACCTTTGGCTAGATTAGACTTTTGAATTTGAGCTAAGCTAAAGGTACCCCTCTCCTTTTGCCAGGTTGTATCTGAAAAACTAGTGTTTCTGTTAGCTTGTGTCAAATGGTCAACTTTGGATCTTTTGTTTTTTGCCAACTTTAGAAGCAGTTATTATAATTTGTAGTGCATGTCTCCTGCAGATATGCATGTGGCTTCTTCTTCTTCTTTTTGTTTTTTTTTTCCCATTTTTGTTGATATCTCTGTATGTGTGTTGCTATGAAAGTTTTTGATATCTGCTTCACGTACTCTTCATTATCGTTTAATTAGTATTCTGTAGCTAAGCATTCCAAAACCTGTTATCTCTGTCTTTTGGTTTGTTGGTACACAAGCCCTCTCTTTCTGTTTGTGTGTTGTTTCCCTCTCCACCTTGACGAGTTCATAGGCATTTTTTGAGGGCTCTCATCCTTTTTCCATCACTGTGAAGAACGTGCGTTTTCATATTGCAATTCTTCTTTATGATTCATTTTTCTCATCCTTCTACAATATGTTCGGATGGGTGGATTTTTGAGGAGAGGGAAGGGATGAGAATGAACTCTTCAATCTTGTTTGAGAGCCTTTTTAATGAGAAGGGAGAAATTTGGTGGGGGAGTTGGGGGGGGGGGGGTTTGGAGGGTTCCTGCTGGATAACATTTTTCACTTTCTAAATTAGGGTGTTGAGGAGGGGGAGAAAGTTATGATTTTCTTTCAAATATGGGGAAGCTACGGCAATCTCTTTTCTTGTCATATACATCTGAACAAGAGAAGAATATCCTGCATGTGCTTACTGTTTCTCATTTCATCCAAAATCCCCTTTCCTCTGTTCCTCCTATTTGAACTTAGTATGACTTTTATCTTCTTTTTTATCTTATTTTTCCACTAGAATAAAACTGTAAAAATATTATTTGCTTCTATCATTGAAGTGCTGTGGTACTTCTCATTTCATCGATTTTCTCTTGCATTGCTAAAAACATAGTATAAAAGTGGGTTGGCATTTTCTTTTGTTTATAAATATTGAGAGCTATAGACTTGAATTCTTCTGGCCTTTTTTATTGACCAATCACTTTATTTGTAAAGTTGAAAGTTGAACTGGGTTGATATGCTTGTAGATTTTGCTGTATAAATTCATGACTGGCCACTGTCCACGTCTTAGACTTCACTGTCTTCAGGAATCTATTTATCTTAGTGTCTTTGGTAATATGGTGCACGTGCTTTTATAGAAGTGTGTTTAGCTAAAAAGCATCAAAGACGGTGAAATCTGGCCTTATGCTTTTTCAACCCAAACACACTCTGAAAAGCACTTTTCAAAAGCAGCCTTAGAGCTACATTACCTTTTGCAGAATTTGTCCTTTATGAATCCTAACCTGAAATAGTTGTAAGATTCTACTACATGCTTCATTCTTAAATGTGCATATCCAGATAAATTTATTTGATATAGTATGTTAATCTGTTTTTGCATCTCTTGTGGACAGTAAGAATTTTGCGTACTCCTGTTTCTGGCTTTCATGCATGTCTATGAATATTTTCAGATGCTTTAGGCGTATTGACTGTCATAAAAAATCATACCAGTTTTTAATTTTCACGATTTCATCAGCTTAAATTCTTTTTTTTTTTTTTTTTGTGCTAATGCCAGCCAATCTACCTCCTGTATGTTGCCCTTGGCTTTCCCACTCCTTTTTTGCTGCTTAACCTAATATTCTACCTTCTTGTACAGGGATCTTACACCAGCACTGGCTTATTGGTCGCTTCAAAATTGCCAAGATTTTCTGATGAGTACACGCTTAGCATAGCTAGTGCAGATCCTAAATCAATTTCTGCAGGGAAACCAGTTCAGTTTACCAAAAGCGTGACCCAGTGGTCTCTCTCTCTCTCTCTCTCTCTCTCTCACACACACACACACACACACACACACACACACACACACACAAGCACACACACACAAAATTTTGAGATTGTTCCTATTTATGAGGTGCACTAGGTATCTCACCATATTTCTCATGTGCCACAATGTTGTAGGTTCACCAACGAGGGAGTTTTGGTGGAGGGCCTATTCTGGAAAGATGTTGAAGCGCTAATTAATGATTATGCAGCAGAACCAAAGAAGAGCAAGTGATCTACCACAATGTGACAGTTTAATGATTAGACAAGTAGTGCCGTTGGCAACATTGTGATTTGACATGGATGATGATTGAGATTATGGTTGTTATCTTAAAAATTTTTTAGTCAAACTAACTGAATTTGCTTCTCATCATCTTTAGACAACCAGTCAGGTCGTTAGTAAAATCATCGCCGGCTGAAGAAACTTTGTATTTGGTATTTATGCTTTGTGACGATTCTATAAATATCCATGTGGTCGCCTTGTTCCTTACTGGTAATACTGACATGGCATTTGTCAAGTAGTGTGTTGATGTGTTGTAATGCCTATGTTCCTCGCATTATGGTTTCGTTAAAAACGGACGGCCCATGGAAAGTACCGTGCTCCATGATTAAACTTCTGAGAAATAGCATGCCTTGAATTGCTTCCCCGTTCAGTACCTGGAATGAGTTTGCGTTCTTTTTATTTGATGGAAACTGATGTCGCTGTTCCGGAAGCAAGTCTCCCAATTGCATGTGCGGTAAATAACTTAATTTAATTTTTTAATTTGTTTTTTATTTTTAATTGTATCTATTATATTTTAAATAATATATAAGTTTTTAATTTGTTGTTTTGATCAATTTCTCTAATCATAAATAATATAATAAATATAGTTAAAAATATTAAATTAATTTGTTTTTATAAATTTTTAATTATAAAAATATAACAGATATAATTAAAAATAGAAAATCTCAAAAACATATAGTAGATATAATTGAAAATATAATTAAAGATTGGAAATTCTAAGCTATTTATTTTTCCATCTTTTGTGGGCCATACAAATACTCTGAAGTACGGTACTACAATGACGAACTTTGCTTGCTGAAAACAGCATCTAAGAATATGCCATTTCTGCCCCCTCTATTGTACTCTCCTCCCCACAGTCAAATGCCAAAATTATTATCGGGGGGCCCACGGAAACACTTGATGTCTCATAGTTAAGCACCAGTCCCTCTTCCAGTCCACAGCACCTTCAAAATTAACTTCCCGTTCCCGTTGAATCTTTCCCTTTCAAGCTTGATACAATCGAATAGCTTCCGGAATAAGAAACGCAAAATAATGTCTGCTTAATTGTTCTCTCTTATGTGACTAAATTATAAATTAATTCTTTTAGTGCTGAGAAATGAATTAATTAATTTTTTTATTTTAAAAATTAATTATTTAATTAATTTATATATTTTTATTTTGTTTTAAATATAAAAAAATAAAATATAAATAGATATTATAAAAAGATTATGAAAAGCATTTTTTAAATTAAATTAATGGTGATCTAAAGGAACTAGTTTATAATTTACTAGTTCTATATTTTTCAAACAGAAATCACACTGTTTATGGAGATAATTGCAATATAAATACATTACTTTTTAATATTTTTTCAATTGAGCATCTGAATTTTTTAGTACATATTTTTTTTAAATAATTATCAATCAACTATTTCTATCAATTTTTATATTAAGTAATGACATATCCATTATTCTTAAAATAATAAATTATAATTTATTTTTTTATTTTAATCGAGTACATAATTTTTTATTTTTTATTTTTAAATACATTAAAAATTTTACAATTGTTAATCAAATATTTTCATTAATTTTTTTAATTGATAACATACGTATTATCCCTTAAATATCAAATTATATTTTTATCTTTATTTTTTAAATTTTTATCAAAATGGGAAATGATAGAATATTTAAGAGTAACGTTCCACAAAAAAGAGAGATAAATTTGTAATTTGATATAATTAGAAATAGCGGATACCGATACTTTATCAATTAAAAAAATTAATAATAATATTTGAATAATAATTTTGAAAAAAATAATATATTAAAACAAAAAAATAAAAAATCACGTACAAAGAAAACAAAATAATTATTTGATATTTTGAGCAACATACATGTCATTGCTTAAAAAAATAAAAAAATTTATTTATTATGAATTTTAAAAAATTGATATATTAAAAAAAATTAATTATGTATTTATTGAAAAAAATAAAAATTAATGTATTCAAATACATTTATCTCTCGTTTATTTTGTACTTTTGCCAGCTCCTCCTAAACCTCCTCTCCCCTGCGCACGTTAGCAATCAATGACCATCCTATTGGACTCTTGGCCCGTCTCTAGACCTAAAAGTCGGCTACGATGCTGACGTCGCCTTCCCTCTACGTCCCCTCAAGTGGGACCCATAAGTAAAAGCAAGGACCTGCGGTGAGGAAAAGCTGACGTGGCCCCTGCGAAATCACGCCCGGACACAAAAGCAAAACAAATCGAAATTGACAACCTCTTTCGAATCCGCCAGGTAATTTATATAATACACTCCATCTTCCTTATCTTGCCGTTTATTTCAACGCCACCAACAATTCCTCTATGCCAGATATTTCTCTCTCTCTCTCTAAAACAACCTCTTCAGTTTCTCTCTCTAAATCTCTGATTTATTTAACGAATCGATCTTAATTTTTTAATAATTTTCTAATCCGATTTGCTTTTTAGGAAGAAATTGAAGCTTAGAATTTCGATTTTGTTAATTTTAAAAAATTTGACCGATGGCTAATTCTAGAAAGCAAGAATTCAACGAAGATCGCATTGAACAATCAAACGGTAACGATGTCGACGACACAGCGTCGATTTCGAGCGCCGGCGGAACCTCTACAGGTAGATCTGGTAGGGTTTCGAGAGAGCGGAGCCAGTCGACTGAGATTGGATTAACGGAGCGATTGACAGACATATTAGTGGACCAAGGAGACGGAGATTTGTTGCTTCAAAGGAATGATCGTGAAGATAGGGTTTTGCTGTGGCTGCAAGCGCTAGATATGCAGGTCATGGGAGCTTGTAGAGCTGATGAGAGGTTAAAGCCGTTGTTGAAATTGAATGCTTCCAGTGGTTTGGCTGAGGACCGGCTTTTAGCCCATCTCAGTCAGGTAACTGTTTGGTATCTAATCTGTCTGGTCCTGATTTTTTCTTTCTTTTGTAATTAAGTTGTCTGATTTGGTTCTTATTTGTGTTTTTTGAATAGCATTTTGAGCCGTCGGAGGTTGGTATGCTAGCCAGGTGTTTCTGCATACCACTGGTTTCGATTCGTGTTGGGAAGATTAACAAGCAAGGGACTCTATTGTGCCCGACTGCCATAAGGTAATTGATTTTTTTGGGATGCTGATTTTTCATTTTGACTCTGGGTATTTATGTGCTGTGTTTTTGAGTTATTATATTGATCGAGGTTTGTTTTCGGAAATAATGACAGACTCTGGTAATTGAACTTTTATGCGTTTCTTATTTTGTTTTGAATGCTCTAATTCGAGCTTGTGCTATGCTGCAGCGGCGGTTCTATGTTTTATATTGCTGAAATTTTACTCTGATTTCTCTAGTCTGGGCTATTATTAGTCTCGTATAACTGCATGTGCTTGATATTCTGACTTGTTAAATTACCTTTTTGGTGCTTTGTGTTTATATCTACGTGAAGTATATGATTATGGGTGATTTGGTGCTGTTGCATATGTTAATTGATTTATGAACAACTTCTGTGTGTGTGAAGAGATAACCGATTCGTTGATTTGTTCACTCTCTAATGTTAATTGATCCAATCATTGATCCGAATATGCTTTTAATATCCTCTGCAGATAGCCGAATTAAAATGAACTTCATGTTAGTGATAATCTAATGTTTTTGCAGTATATCACCCATGTAATTCTTTACCTCTTAAGTTTTCAGATGTATTTTTCAGATGTACCAATCATATCCCTTTGTGAACCCGTACTTGTGCATTTTGCATGTATTCGCATTAATTTTTATATGTTTCGGTATTACCCTTTCTGCTGTTCCAATAGCGTCATCTTCTAATTTAAGTGCATTTTGATCATCATCTGATATGAGGGCAATTTTTTCATTTTGTTTTCTTTTTTATTTTAATAAACTCAAATCAGTGGTCATTTGATTGCATGATACACATGCATGTTTGGCTGCAATGGAATGACTGTTGACTACAGCTGTTCTATGACTGCTTCATCTAGAGACTAGAAGTTACCTTGCACAATTGGGTTTTGCTGCATTATGCGGTGCAACCAAGTGAATATTGGTCTAACTGGTAATTCTTTGTAAGTCAGTTACGATATAGGAGATTCTCTAACCTACATCTTTCGTATAACCTCTCTGGTGCATGCTTAGATAGGTTTCTTGCAGATTTGACTTCTCCTTGGAATTCAGTTGAGTTAATTTTTAAGCATAATTGTTGCTGGGAAGTATATATATTCTGTAGTTGGGAAGTATATATATTCTGTAGTTGATGAATTGTAGAGTTTGCACGACTGAATATTTTAGCTTATTTGTGGTGATAATGTTCATGCTTCCAAGTAAAAATATCTTTTGGCTTGTAGGTAAAGTGGGCGTATTCTATTATGATCTCTGAATTATGAGGAAGTAAAGGTAGTTTCATCTCCTACATATGATTATACAACTTGCTACTGCTTTTTGAATATATATAGGAAGGACATTTTTAACTGAATTAGAAATCTGACTGTGAACAGTCGTATTAGCTTAAACTTCCTCATGCTAAGTTCATGATATAATCTACATACTGCCTTTGCAATCTGGTGCTTGGGAAATATTTTGAGTTCAGCAAGACACACTTTTATAACCTGTTATTATATTCATTGATGCATATACTAGTCCTCTCTGTTAATTCTTCTAGTTTGTGGTTGTGAGCTTTACAATTTGTTTTGGAGGATTTTTTTCCGTCGTCCTTTTTGGAGCATGATATAAGGGTATTCTTGAGGATGTTCCATAAATAATATAATTCCTCTAATAAGATCACAATTAATGCTACCTAGAAGATACTTTTCAGGAAAAAAGATTAGTGAATATAGAATGAGCACTCATTATATTATTGTGGGTGTATGAAAATGTTAAAAGCTGTGGACCTCATTGAGAAGCATATCACATGTCACTGTACAAGCTTGTAGTGGAAGTAATTTAATATATTTACTAGATGAGCAATAATATGGCAGCTTCTGGGTGTCTGTTGAGAGAGCCTGTAACTGATCAATAATGCAATCAAATAGGTCATGTGTGATTCAATGAATAGCAGCTAGATTGACCCTATTGCAGTCTTATTATACACTTCTATTCTTCCAAAACCCTGTCTACTGACAGAGCCTGTTATTGATCAATAATGCAATTAAATAGGTTGTATGATTCAATGAATAGCAGCTAGATTGAGCCTATTGCAGTCTTATTATAGAGTTCTATTCTTCCAAAATGGTGAGTGTTGGTTTGAATTTGCAACTATGATTTATAGTGCTGAAGACTAGTAAACACTTGTAAAGATATTTTATCGTCTAGCCTCACAAATTTATTGATTTTGTGAACTGCATTCAAGTCATCTAAGATTCATGTCAATAGCTCAAAATTACAAACTTAGTATAATTTATATTCTGGCATAGTGCATTTAAAGATTCACTGCTAAGAGATTTTATTTAATAATTTGCTCTCTTTCTTGATTCATTTTTTTTTGGGTTTATGTTTCTAAATTGTTTTCCATTTCTTCTCGTTCTTTCAGGGGGATTTAAATCTGACACTATTGCCAACTTCTGATCTGCGCCTCTCATTCATTGGTGATGATGGTAATACAGAGAGGCTGTTCACCTTAAGAAGTAAAACCCAGTGTGCTGCTGTTGAAGTTGATGAGATCCCTGCAGACTGTTCTGGACGATCTTTCAACTTAAAGATCTCAGATGGCAGAGTTTTTTACTTTTGGTGCTCAGAGAAATCAAAGCTTTTGGGAATTGAATTACTTGCAAAGGTATGCACAACAGCTTGTTGGGGGATGATTATATATTCACATACGAATGCACTCTTTGGTTAAAACTAATTTAGCTTTGGAACTTTTGAGATGATTGCTGAGATACTGCAAATAATTTTCATGCATATTATCTTCTTTATGGAAATGATGATGAACTCAGCTTTGCAATCAACTGCAGTCTGGTTGACAGAAGTTGGTTTTGCTTCTTCTCTTCCTTCCTCTTTCAAGTTTTTCTGCAATTAATCAGAACATGAATATTAGTTAGAAAGGAGGGAACAGACAAGAAATTTACTGTGTTATCTATCACGTGTTTGTCTCTGTTTCTTTTTCTGCGTGCATGCTCTCTTTGAAATGCTTTTCAGTGGTTACTAATGCATGTTCCCTTTTCTTCAATAATAGATGAAAGATATACTAAAGAGGAAACCATCTATAGCTGATTTAACTGGAATCAGCAAGTCCCGCCTTGATTGCTTTGCGACTCACCTTCGTGCCTACCTTGTGGGAAGCAATGGCCGGGAAATTTCTGCTTGCTCTCTTGCCGCTTCCTCTACCACTCCAGATGTCTCTGGTTCAGCCTCCACACTGAAGTCTCTGCGTTCCAGACATACTGGCAGTCAGGCAGTAAAAACAAATTCAGCTTATCAGGGAAGCCTCAGTCCAAGATCAAGTTCCTTCAAAGAGGGCCTACCAAGAAGCTTGTCTTCTTTAAGGAATGCTGCCAGGGAAAAGTTAAGGCGGTGTGTAGACACCCATCTTTCGGCAGTTGATAATGTGATGGCTGCATTGCCACTCAGCAATGATGTGTCTTGCAACCAATCTGAAAACGATAAGTCGCAAGAAGCTAAGAGTTGCCCTTTAGCACCCTCTAATGTTCTTGAATCTCTCGGTAAATTGTCTTTGCCATCAATTCAGTTCCCTGGATCTCATGTTCTGTCTAGCCCACCCCTCTTCTCTCCATACTATTGTTGGTGCCCCCAAGGTGCAACGACATTGCATTATCCTTCCACACCTTTGGAAATCTGTACCTCATCGGTTGAATCACCTTTACTGCCACCGCTTCCTCCATTATTATCTGCGAGCAGGCCATCCAATCTGTTAAGTCCTATACCTCCTCTCAGTTTGGCTGACCTTCCTTCACTGGATTTTCCTGCTTTGCTACCAGACCCATTAGTTCGGTTGCCACTTCCAAGTTCACAGCAAATCCCAACTTTCACTCCGTTAATGTGTGACTCAATTGTTCACATTCCAATCATTGATGTTTGTTCCTCAGGTCAAGGCTACCTAGTGAGTGCTGGACCGACTATTGCAAGTACTATTCCGCCTTTGCACCCAAAACTTGTAAACCCATTGATTCCTGAAACTGCTGATTCTGTGGTGGAGAAGGGTGCTAGAGAAACTCTGAGACTACTCATCAGTAGTACAAGCCAAACCAACCCTCAATTCATGGATGTCTTACCAGTTGTCCTAACCAATACTGAACAGAAGAGTATACTCGCCACCGGAAGCCGGAGCCTTTACACAGGAACCAGAGATGTGGATGCTATTGCAAACAGAATTGTTGCCACCATGGGCCTGGTTTCATTGTCCGAGTCCTCTATAAGAAACAGTGTTGCGGAGGTCAGTGGCAGCTGTGATATTGCGAACACTTGGGCTGAGAATCTGCTAGATGGTTCTGGTGCTTTGGATGGACCCTATTCAGACGACGAAGATGCTCTGTTCTGGAACGCTGGGGAAGGAACCGATTAAGACTAGTATTGCATTAACACTGTAAATCTGTTTTTGCCCTTCTGTGTAGATATGCTGTTCCAGCCCTGGGATTTTGAATTGTAATTATTGCAAATCCTACTTTCATTGGGCATTTGTTTCACTTTTATTCCTTAATCATCTTATTCAGTAGAAATACGACTATTGTATTACGTTTTTTGTTGTCTAATAATGCATGTGTTCTATTTTTTGTGTTTGCGGTCATGCGTAGTTTATGAGAGCCTTGATGCGACCGGTGTTTAGCTACTACGAATAAAGTTTTTGAATTCTAGTTAGTGCGAAAGAAGTTTTGAATTCGCACTTTTTTTTTTCATTTTAATATTGGAATCACGATGATTTTTTCATTTTAATATTATATTATTTCTGTAAGAAATTTAACATTTAATTTTTAATATGAATACAAATGAACTAATATACTAAAGGAAAACGTCTAATTTCATTTTAATATTATATTATTTCTGTAAGAAATTTAACATTTAATTTTTAATATGAATACAAATGAACTAATATACTAAAGGAAAACGTCTAAACACTGTAGTTGTATTATTTAAAATAGTGTACATATATTTACATTGTATTATTTATTATCTCATAATTTGCTGTTTATAATTTTTTTACACTTTGAATCTTGATATTTTCGAATTCATATTTCGATCCATATGTTCATTTGCTCATTCATTTTGATCCCCGAGTGGAGGGAGAAGATTGAGAGAAAAAGAGAGAGATTACCGGCTCAACTCATTTAGGTTACTTTAGTAGGTGAAAATCCACTAGATTTTTTTTATATTTGAGAGATGAGTTTGTCCATAGTGGTTTCAAGTCATTAAACAATTAGAGGAGGTAGATCGGAGCCAAAAAAGAAAAAAAAATCCGATTTGATTTTGTATTTTTTTTGTTTTTGTTTTTGTATGTATTAAAATGATTTTTAAGGTTTTAGATGTGTTTGTTGACTTTATTTCAATCATTTAGATGTATTTGAGAAAAAAAATAACCTCAGATTCGTCGAAAGTTGCAAGATTTTTTTTTGTAGGCAGGCAAGCCTTGGCGCTGGCTTGCCAAGTGCGCAGGCGCAGCACAAGCAAATGCCTGGCCTCCCCGCCTCCTTTCTTTTTTTAATTTTAAATATAAATCTACAATCTGGTTTCACAAGCCAATCAGCCGCCTGTCCTGATTGCAACTAGGCGCCCCCCTCCCCCAACACACACACACACACACACACAATATATATATATATATATTGTTGTTTAATTTTTTTAATTCTTTATTTCTTATTAAAATTCACATCAAATTAATTTTTTTATATAATTTTATTTGTTAATAAATTTAGTTTTTTCATACATGAATTTTGAATTAAAATTTTAGAATGTCATTGTTTTATTTTTTAAAATATATTATTATAATTTATATAATAAATTATGTATGTGTGTGTGTGTGTGTTAGTTGTGTGTCTTTTTTATCTTTATATATATTTTCTATACAATTGTTTTTTAAAATTTTAAACTTTAATTGTATTATGATTTAGCTCATTTGTTTTAATTTTTTTTAATTATTTTTGTTATTGAAAATTGATAACTTTAATTTGTCATTTTTTTTTCAAATTCTCATCTAATTAATTTAAAATTCCATTTAATGATAGTTTTCATTTATTTTAATATTATTCATTCTTTTCTCATCCAATTAATTTAAAATTATATATTTTGTTTTAATTTTAAACTTTAATTGTATTGTGGTTTGATCTCATTTTGTTTTAGTATTTTTTATTGATTATTTTTATTATTTAAAATTTACTACTTTAGTTTGTTATTTTGTAAAAATTCTCATCCATTGAATTTCAAATTACATTAAAAATTTTAAAATATTTTTTTCACCTTTGATTTCATATATTTTTAGACATTCACATGATAAAACGAGACTATTAAATTAAAATGATTTTTATAAATGATTTTATATATTTTATCCTACCTGCAAGATAGCGCGGGCAAAAAATCTAGTAATTACTAAATAAATAAGAAAGTTAATAAAGTGATTGAAGTGATTATGGTGGTAGTAAAAGAGAAGGTGATGGTCGTAGTATCGGTAATATAAGATTTATGGTAAACATTATTTTCGAATTATTATGATAATTTAAGACTTTTATTATTAATTTGATTTATTTGAATTTTAAACTATTATTTTTTAAGTAATTATTATTATTATTATTATTATTATTATTATTTTGTTATTTTTTATTACAATACATTGACCGTTACCTTGAATGTTCGAACGACATCATTTAAACATTATTTATTTATTTATTTAATGGTAAAAATTACTTTCAAACTATTGAGGTTATGATAATTTAGGGTTTTTACAATCAATTTGGACTTTTTGGATCCTAAACTATTATTTTATGAGTGAATATATATATTTTTAAGATTAAAGAGTTGATTGTTGATTTAAATGACGCTATTTAAGCATTCTATTTTTTCTTTACAAAATATAATTATTTTTTAAAAAATACAATGATGGTTAATACTATCAATATGTAGTTACTATTAAATCAATTAAATTAATTAAATTAAACAGAAAGAAAGTGGCTGAATTATTAAAGTGTTGTTGAAATTATTTCTTGAACTTATGCTTTCTTGTAACAATATTTCAGGTCTGATTCAGCCAAGAACAGTGGAGAAAAGAGGCATGAATCGGGACTGAAATATTGACATAGAAAAGCATACTTTCTAAAATTAATCACAACAATACTTTAAATAATGCACCCTCTCTCTGGGGTCAATTCAATTATATCGGTTGGTTTAATAATGTCTTATGACAACATGCCATTTATATTAACCATAATATTATATATATTTTTAAAATTAATTTTATTTTGCAAAAAAAATATCGTTAATGCAGTCAAGATAACGATCAATGTTTTTTTTGTTAAAAATAACAAAAAAAAAAGGATAATATTTGTTTAGAAAATAATAAATTGAGATCTAAATAACCCAAATTAATAATAAAGATCTTAAATTGTCATAACCTCAATAGTTTGAGAGTAATGTTTGTCATTAAGCATTTAAGTTAATAATCAACATTTTTACCATTAATGATAAGAGAGCAAAGATAAAATTTGCATAGAAAATAATAGTTTAGGATTCAAATAACTCAAATTGATAATACTGACATTAAATTATCATGGCTCAATAGTTTAGGAGTAATTTTTGTCATCAAACGAGTAGAATAGTAATAACAATAATAGTTTTTTAAAAAATGATGTCATTATCATAGAAAGTGACAATAAACGGAGAGTGGTGATTGTGGTATAATAAAAGTGATAACAGTGTTAGATGAGTGACAAAAAATTTATAATAATAATAAAATAATTTTTTTTTATCATTATCATCGATAGGGGTTGCGAGAGGTTGTGATAGTGGTAGAAATAATTGATACACAGTAAATAAAAATAATACATCACTGTTTTGAAAAGAAAGAAAATCTCTTCTTTCTTTTTTTATTCTCATTTCTTTTTGTGAGAATAAAACTAATTTAAATTATTATTTTTTTCTCGTTTTCACTTCATTACTTTTAATTAAACAACAATAAAGTAAAAATAAGAATTTTATTTTATTCTCACCATTCCCTTCATTATTACTAATTAATACCTTATTGATTGTTATTGGTCCAAAGCTAGAAAGTGAAAAGGACATGGTAGAAAACAGATTCATTTTATATGTGCCAATTGTATTTAAAAAATTAAAAATAGTTGTGAGTCATTTTCTTGACCATTAATGGTTTTTTTTAATCTTTTATACTGCAAATTTTGTACATGTCTAAACTTCCTTCGAGTAAGCATGATAATTTCACTCAATTAATTAGATATCAGACGTTATTCAATTTACTTAGATTGGATGTTTATTTGATAGAAATAAAATCATAGATGGATAAAAACTTACCCGATACGTCAAGGGTTATGTGTAGGAGTGGATGAAGTGTTCACCAATATGAATTAAAAAGCCCAAAAACCTTGTGGAGTGCAACTGCCTATCTTATTTTTTTATACAGTTGTTTTTATATGATTTATGGTTTTATGTGTTTTTATTATGTTTTGCACTCATTTATTGGTTGTGATGTCAGTCTAGATAGAGTAGGCTTAGGACCTAAAACCAGCTTTATTTTGATAACAAAGCTTTTATTATTGTTGTTATTATCATCATATTGTATTTTATTTTTATTTTATTTTATTATTTTTCAGTGCTTTGGGTTTTGTCTTCTTGCATATTTGGTCTTAAACTTGGTGTGGGGTTTCAAGGTTAATTGTATCAATTTAGAAATAACATGATAGGTGGATATAGACTCAAAACCTCGTATCTACATTTTTTAGATTATTTTGTCTCGGACTTGTAATTTTATTATATGGTTTGACGAGATAAATTTAGACTTCTAAGCTATATTCGCTTTATTTGATTTTTATATATTTTTGTATGGGTTTGGGTTATTTAATTTACAATGAGCTTTAAATTTTAACTTTAACATTTCTATGTGGGCTCTAGTGATCCAATAATAATTTGAGAGATTAAAGCTTATTTTTTTCTCTAAATTACCTCTAAGCTTGGTTAGAAAATATTTGATAATCAACTCAAAAATTAGAATAGAAAAATAGATGCATAATTAGACTTTACATAAAAAAATTCTTATATGTCGAATTGAATGGTAATCTCATTAAGATGACACATTTAGTTAACTCGTTCGCTTTCATGGTTGAATAATCAACTCCTTTAACTAGAACTCTTATGACCAATTTAATAAGATTTTTTTCGTTTTTCACCTTTAAAAAAATTGAGTGGGGAATTCATTTATCAAACACATTTATTTCTATAATTGCCGAGAGCTCATTTTGTGACACCTAACAATAAACAATTCCTTCTTCCAATCATTAACTAGGTTAGGGCCCATAAACATTTTTTTCAATGAGCTTGCTTTGCAGGTCACAAAAAGTATGTACTCGA